CATGGATACGAGCGCGCTTATGAGATTTTCTCGCGGCTGGAGAATGAAATATTCTCGCTCGGCTAATCGAACCACTTTTCTTTTGCAGTGATAAATATTTGCTCGCAGGTGTGGAGCGAAAACGAGTGTGCAAACGGGTATACTTCCGATAATGATATTCTGTTATAGTACCGTGACACGAAGTTTTCGCGAAGTTTGATCAACGGCAACGAAATTTAATAAGGACGCGGAGGAGCTGACGTCGGATCTTTCGTGATCTTTACTTCACTTCGCTCTATTTTATCGCGACTTCTTTTCTCAGATACGGTTCGCCGGCGTCTTCGCAATAGTCCCGTAACTTTCTTCCTTCGGCCACCTTCGCGTCTCGAACGCATTTAAGCTCAACAGTCGTCGGATTAACGGTGGATTGCGCGCGCGTCGAAACTCGTGAAATGTTATTTTCGTCGACGGATTGATACCTGGCTTATATTGCAATCGTTTCATGCATCTTGATTTTCTCGTCGTCATGGATTTTCGCTTAATATCACGCTACTTTATTTTACATCGCAATAACAATAACGTAAACGAAAGCGGTCGAACCTCGATCGCTCTTCGAGCTCGGGGGTATATTTTTAAATATTATATTCGATACACCGTGATTTAGATTCCACCGTAGATGTGTTTTATCGTTCTTCCGGCTTTTCCTCAGTGCAATCCGTTTTCTACCGTTCGGTTTCCCTCTAGCGCGCTCCTTCCCCACCCTCGCGTTACGTTACGACTGTTTCTCGGCGTACACAAACTCCCCTTTGTACGTTGTATGGGAACCATTCACGGTACTCTTCTGAAATATGAGTATTTCGAGACGTGCGCCGTCGACTTTTTGCCGCTCCCCCGCGGCTTTTTTGTCTCGGAGATTTTACATCGCACGAGCTGCGAATAACGCTTCGCGTGTGTGAACTGGAAGAACAAATCCACGAAATGGCGGACAAGCAAAGCCAAAGTCCACATGACGTTCAAGTTTTGCGAGGTAAAGTCAGATCGCAAATGCCGTATAACTCACGATGAGAATAATATCCGTTTTTTTTTTTTTTCTTAGAAAATTGTGGCAGACACGGGTATGTGACAATTATTTCAAATAACTATAATAGCCAATGATTATCGCGTTAAAGAAAATTATTTAATTTCTCACGTCTCTCGATGCCAGTCATCTCGTTGAATCGGAAAAGATCTCTGCAAAGGAAAGTCCATAAGGCTAATTTTCAGTCCTCTGAATTTCGCCCCGAAATATCAAAACGTTCTGTTTTTATAAGAACTATTGAATTTTAGTTTAAAAACACATGTATTTTGACACCTGTTCATCTCGCAACTCTAAATAATCTCACTTCTGCCATCAACTTTTTTATGTTTATATAGAAAAAAATGTTAGATTTAAATAAATAATTACTCCAATACCCCTTAGCTTATGGACTCTCCTTCTTCCCTTGAATTCGATTATATCGAATTCTACATTATGATCGAGTGTCGCAATTTCTACAATGGTAAGACCAACACAGTAACCCGTACACAGAAGCCCTAATCAGGATTATTTCCTCCCCAAGTTTTACCGGTGAGTCCCCGGGGTTCAGACTCTTATCTCCAGCCGCCAGGTTTATTACTGAAATCTCTCGACGACGAATGAATGACGATGGCGAACGAAATTCTTTTAACTTCATCGCGGCCTTCCGTTCCCAAACTGCTTCTAGAGATCCCCGTGTTTAAACTACGTACTTCACATTTCAGCGCAATTACGCGATTCGTTTTCTCCACATTTCCACGCATTCGCTTGGAGCGGGTTTCAAACGGGATGATTCGTGCGTGCAATCGAGGAGACACGTTCGCATGACTGTTGGCCCGTAAAAATTGACGCGAGCTGCAAAGAGAAAAAAGGGTGCAGGTGGCATTTCCGTCGTTCCGTCGTAAACATTACGGACTAATTATAACCGCACGCCAAGTGAGCAACTCGGAAGGTCATGCGGTACAATTTCCTCTTTCGCTTCGCTGTTCGCCAATACGTTATCGCCACCCTCTCCGCCACCCTCGCAAAGAATTTAACGATGGTATTTCGCTCGGGGAGAGAATGTGCCACCGATGCCGAAATCGAGGGCGTGAATGGGTTGCGGAAGCGCGCGGCGTTCACCGCACGATAAAATGATCGGGGCTGCCGGGCGGTGATCTTACCATCGTATTACACTGTAAAATGCTAAATCCGACGATTCGCGTGACACGTGCGGAAAATAATGGCCTATTTACCGGACATTAATTTTCGCATCCTCGTACGACGTCATCGGACAGCCACTCGGGCCGCCTCGTTTGGCGCGCAAGCGGCTCGGCCGACCGTTTTTTCGACGAAAGGCCGCGCGCGTAACACGTTTCGCCAATTATTCGACAGCGATCATCTGCGACGCGCACCCGCGAAATCACACGTATCGCGAAACATCCATTGTCGGCGGTTGACGATCGATTGGATGTCACAGGCGAAGGGCGCTACAATTTCCGTTTCCGGAGCGGCGTCCTAGCGTAACGAGCGGCTTCCCAGAGCCGCCCAATATAAATTCCGTTTAACGTGCCAAGCGCGCCGTGAAAAAGTCCCGGATCCTCGGCAGGCGGTGCAGTAAACGGGGTTACGCGCTTGAAAGGGAAGCGGCGAGAAGCGCGCGCCAGCCTCTGTGCGGCTCCTCCGCAGCCACTGCTCATCTCTCGCCGCTTTTCTTAACATCGCCTCGCTTTGACTCGCAGCTCTCCCTCCCGCCTGACTTTCATCGGGATTTAGAGGAGGATTCTTTCTTCTCGATCCGCGTTCACCCCGCGGCCGTACGTACGCCATTTCGCCGATTCGCGCAAAATTTACTTTTGAATCGTATTAAATTTAATACCAAAGGGTGCTTTCGAGGGGACATTATTTAACGCTACCGCGTCATTCTATCCTGGTTGCACATATAAAGAGCTATGGCCTCTTTTCCGTCGAATGTCGGTTGGTTGTATCGAAATTTCGATCTCGCTGCATGTTATTGCTTAGTTCGATTCACGGTTATCGCGAACGACATTGTCATTGCAAAGGTTGCGCTCTCTCGACAGTTCGTAAGTTAAGAGGGTTAACACCCTCTCACTTAAAATCGTTAAATATTCCAGAGGGATTTGAATTACTGTGATCTGTTTGTCGGCCCCGCCATGAATTTAGATCCGGATTCGACTACGACTTCGGATTCGAATTCGCCTCTGGCTTCGGATCCGGATTTGAAGCGTCACATTTATCCGCCATCCGAATAATCGCGTGTCCGGATAATGTCAGGATCCGGGCGAATATCGGGGCCCTAAATCAAGCGGAGAATTTACCAGTTACTGGCGCAGAAACTTCGTGTATCGTAAGTCGTCGTTCCTTTTTCGATCGCGCTCCGAGATTGTTAAAAGTTTTAACATTTTGCCGGGGAAACTCGGCTCCGAATTAACGAAGAGAGGGACCAGCGGATGAAATCCAGATCGAGATCCCGAGGCTCCTCGCCGAACGATAACATCGCCGTGAACGCGTCCAAGGAAGCGAAGGAAGCGTTGGGTGGCCTTGTTAATGAGTGTCGGCCCACTAACGAGTGCTTCCGAAGGAAATAGGTCGTCACGGTATAAATCTAAATTCATACCTCCCGCGTGGCCGAGAATGCGGAAGCAGCTACACCGTGGATCCTTATAAATTCACACGGTCAACGTACATATATACCATCAACCCGGACAGATACCGCGATGTATATACCTGACGTAAAATATGCGCGATTCATGTATGCACTATGGCGCGAATATGCGCACACACACACACACACATGCACACATACGTAAACGTATACCACGTATGGGGTGTCTAATCGACCACAGTGTCTTTTTATTAACCCTTAGCTGACACACGGGGTTAAAAGTACCCCAGAGTTTTTGAACGCAAATTTTTCATAACTGCGCGCCAAATTTGGTTCTGTGGCGTCACCTAGTATTAGTCGAGGCTTGACCCAATATTGATAAATAAAACAATTATAAACATTTTTTCTCGCTGGGGTCCAAAATACCCCTTATAGCACGTACGTTATTATTTTGACGCGTGTCAGCTAAGGGTTAAATAAGAACCGAAGAAAGAAGCGTTTTTATGGACGAAGCGTAGATTAAACGTTTTCCCTTACAAAAATACTTCGTTTTTAATTCACGAAAACGGTTAGTTTGAATAGTGAAAGATAGTGGATTCGGTTGAACAAGTACAACCCCGTGTTTAGATCAGGAAGGGGGCTGTTTAAACAGTAAATATTTGATGTGCTGAATTATTGGCACTTCTGTACGAACCAACAACATCTGGAGTTTTCGCGTGCGGTGACATGTCAATTCACACGTTGTAGTGAATTGCGAGCGGCCGATCGAAATCGGCGGCACAGGTGGTTCGCGGCGTTCCTTTCGGAGTCGCGTTTTCTCAAGTCCTTGGAACTCAGCCGTGAAAGTATCACGTAAGGGATGGCGAGTTTCCACTCTAGGCCTCTGCAATATCCGTAACTCTCCGAAATTCGAACTTTAGTCCGTCCGCCGAACTTTCCGATACTTGTTACCGAAGTTTCCTGAAACTCCCAAACAAGTACGTTATACTATCGTAATAATTGTAAATTTTCCGAAGGCCAATATGTACCCTGGCGGGGTGAGAATAGCCTATTTCCATCATTTCTTCATATTTGCGAGTCGTCTTTTGAAACAACTATTACGATTACTGTACGTACGCCGAGGACATTTATTGATATTAGATAGAATAAGAGATATTTTACGATGAAGAAATGTCTCGCTCTATCCTTAAATATCTGATAATAAGGGCAATAAGTAATAATTTCGGAGTAATTTCGAATTAGTCCGGAAATTCTATTTTGTCCTTAATCACTTTCTTGTCTCGTTAGCGTTAAGCTCCTTACAAATTGCTTCCTTGCTAATAGATGTTCTCGCTAATTGCTGTTTTCTCCGTTTGTTTATAGAGGAAGAGTGGAATCCAGATGGCAAGGGTCGGCAATCCAACGATACCGGTGAGTCCCGACTTCTTATGAAATTTCATTTGCGGATGCAGCCCGCAACTTCTTCTTCCGTCTCTCGACTTTCCCTCTCGACTTAACTACTTCGGTCTTTAATCTGATTTATTTCGAGATCGAGTCGCCGCTTCCAGGACGTAATTTTCATTTTTCCGCGGCCGGAGTACAGTACATTTTGTAAAGTGTTCACGCTTCCCGTTGCTTTTCGCGAGCGCGCGTCGAAAAAGTGTTTTACGAACGTCACTCGCAACGTACACACTTTTTGCCTCTCCCGCCAAAGAAAGAGAAATAGGATTTCGCGAATGATTCTCAACAATGTAGAGGAAAAATAGGATTTTCCGCGAAGCATTTTCTATCAGATATATAATATATATATAAATCCCACCGCACTTCCTAGCCTCGAAAATGAACGGCAACCGTAATAATAACAGGATTATCTTTTCGCATAAAAACGCGCGGAAAATTCGCCATCACCTTTTTAGCGAGCCGAAGTGGCCAAATCTGTCGCAAATAGAGGTGCTCATTACTGTCTCGCGAGATCGACTGTTCCACGGAGAGATTATCCAGATTGCATTGCCTGCAATCGCCTTTGGCTCCTGTTCCTCTCGTTCTCCCCTTCCCCTTTCTCACCCGTGGTGCCTCCTTCTCCTCCCTTCTTCCTATTCTCGCCTTTTCCTTGGCGTTTAAGTAGACGCATTACCAGCTTAACTTAACCCCTGGAATCAGCGGGGTCTCAGTCTGGTTTCCTGAGTTCAAGTTTCACCCTCCCTTTATTCTTTGAAGCGACTGCGCCCTCCGCTTCGTATCACGTGAAATTGATACGCCGGGCCTCTCTCTCCGTCTTCATCGCGTACCCATCCTATTCTGCTGCAATTGCAGATTCGCCGCACAAAGCGACTGCCTTAGCAGGGGCATGCTCCGTGCTTTGTTACGCGGGCTATTTTTAATGCAGGTGATAGGTGGATGGAATAGACACGTCAGTATATGACCGGATAAGATACGTTATCGAGCAATTTAATCCTTCGATTAAATAAAAATATTTCGCGACATATCGTTACCTTTTGCCGTGCATGGGATTAATATTTTCAATTCTTCCGACCTCGCATCTAAAAAATGTGGAGGGAAAGCTGTTGGAGATATTAAGAGGGAGCATTATATCACCTTCTCTTTTACTACTAAATAATTAAAGTGTATTATTAATTAAAAATACTAAAACTACCGTTTAATAAAAATACATTAAACACACCACTTAATATTAAAAAAAAAAAAACATCATGTGTTTATTACCTGAAATGCGTACGAATTCGGAAGTTTCCTCTCGGGTCTGAGTTACGAAAGCAAGACGATACAGTGATTACCGACGAACGGCTATTAGACCATAAAGACAACGGACGTCTCTGGCTGCGACGATAAAATATAATGAAAGAAAGTACGCCGGCTGATAAACAGGAGCTCGCATCTGCAATTTCCTTTTTCGCTGTTATTCCTCGCCGAGACATCCGATTGTTCCGTATTTTATTTCGCTACTGTCGCGCAACGTCGACTTGTAACACCGCTTCTGGCGTTTTAAGCCAAACATCCTGCGGGAGTAAGAAGAGCAGCCATCTCGGATTCCCGTTCTGTCTTATCTCGTTGTCACGCTCGTTTTTCGCCGACGACTTCGAAACAGTGCCGGTAAATTCGCGCCACGACGTAAATAATTTATTCATGCAAACGTAGAAGAACGCGGCGTTCCTCCGTGGTATTATCAACAAGTTTTCGAGGTACGAGTTGCGGGATATCCCTAAAAAGAGCCCCATTTTAGACATTACGATTCGCTTCCCGTCCGCAGTACGCTAGACCTTTATTGTCTTCATTATATATCAGTCACTCGCTGGTGACTCCGTCGCTTTTCATTGTCTCCTTCTCAACAATCTCAGAGTCCAACTTTTAATGCAAATTCAAGAGTATTAGGAGCAGCAATAAAATAGGAAGACAATAGCACTTGAATAACAATATTATTGTTCGTAATATTTAATATTATCCAAGTACTGTGCATATTTAATATATGTTACGCGCAAAACGCTTGATATTAACGTTACCGAATGCTTCTTTGTGTTTCCGCAAAAACAGAGATTTTTCAATAACTTTCTTTCCGTAATCGCCTTTTATTCAAATATTATTCAGAAAATCATTTCATCTCTGGATTACCATTTGTTGAACTTGTATGGATGTTTTTTCCAAAGCGAACTTGCAAGAATCGTTTGATTACAAACCGGAGGTAAATGGGGAAAACTCCGTGGATAATCTATCGACGTGCGACGTACCGGCTCGCGCTCTGCTAATCCACCGCCTCCGTCGGGGGCTGCATCGCCGAGATGGCGTGCCAGAGACCGACGTGACGGCGGCGGCGGTGGCGGTTGCGGAGCGGTGGATGTGGTGGCGGTGGATGCGTAGGCGATGGTAGCGGCATCGTCGACGACGTCGTCGAGTCGCGCGCGCCGCTGCCGAACGCTCTGCGCAACTGACCGCCGAGTGAATCTCTTTAAACAGCATCTCTCGCCACACCCTGCCGTCAGTTTGCACTCGCGAAAGCGTCGCTGTAGGAAAGAAAAAAATGAAATGCACAATTGCGTGAAAGATTTCTAAGCGCAGATTTACACGCATGCTTGCAATTTATCTGATTCTTGCGTTATTAAGATGAATGATGATTGAAACGTGTTTTTGCAACTTTCACGAGACCAAAGTCCACTCGAAATTGGTAGGAAAAATTCCATTAATGATGTCCCGTTCCCTAGTACCATCGAAAATTTCCGATCGGAGGAATTAATATACACGGAAAACGTGCTGTTGAATTAATAGAACTTCCAACAGCGCGCGTAATTGAAATAAATATTGACTCAACAGCGATATCAATGAAACTAATACTTTAATTATCGGAACAATATATAATATAGCAGTTTTAATGAAATTTATCATTGAATAGAAGATTACCCCAATTACGCTATTGCTGAGAGTTTGATTGATTCAACAAAATTTTTCCGTATGCGAATATTTGTGACAATAGTCATGATATATAAATAATATGATATATTCACCTTTTTGTTTCGTAATATTTTGTCATTTTTGGTACAGACGAAAGATTCCGTCTTGCCAGAATTTCTTAGATTTCTCAATGAAAATTCCTTATTCTGTTCTTTGTCCGAATAACGTACAGAATACATGTCTTATCACCATACATTTCTAATATAATCATAGCACAAATAAATGTTTTTTTTTTTATGTTAGAATTATTTGTGATAACTGGTAATATTCCGAACGTGAAATTTTTATTTATCTCTTTAAACGCGAAGTGAACAATATGAAAGTTTCAAATCGATAATTTTTTTTTCCAAACGACAAGTACACATACTCAAATTCACGATTACTGAAATGAGATTGAAAAGAAATATGATATATATGAGGCCAATTGAAACGGAACACCGCAGTCGCTTCCAGTACAATATCGATTCGACGATAATACAATGAAAGTCGTTTTCCATGAACCCCTCGCTGCACAATCGAGTGCACATCCAAATCGACATAGTGACGGTGAATAGAATTAATATAATTGATACAAAGCTTAACTTGTTCGCAGACAATAGTATTATTTCTTAAGCGACTGTCTAGAATTTGTTACTGCAATTGATCTGATTTCCGTAAAAATTAAAATTAATAACAATTATAGCACTCTTTGCAAAATTGGAAAAACCAAAGATTCATTAGGCATTCATAATAATATTATATTGAGGACTTTAGCAGAATAGCTAACTTATTAATACAAGACAATGTTTCATGCCTTAAGTCTCTGTCTTAAATAACGCACAATGAAACTGTCTTGTGTCTGAAGTCTTAAACTAAAAAGCCGCTCTCATTCTTGATTCATGATAAACTACTGTATAATTAAGAAACACAAAAGAATAATAAGTTAGACAAAAGGTATAAAATATTTCCTTAAAATTACAAGTCCATTTTGCTTAATTTTGAGTGATAACTTAAAAGTAATTATTCCAAAACTAAACAAAGTCTGCTGTACAAGTAAAATGTCCAGGTTTACATACATTAGTCCTTAACATCGGTGAAATGCAAATTATTACTTTTTATCGGTATAAAATATTTCCTAAAGATTCGTAAATAATTTATTATTAACGGCTTTAATAGTTAATAACAGCGTAATTTCCCAATGCAAACCGTGCAACACAAACGGATGTCATGTGCCGGAATAACGAAAGTTTTAATTATTTAAATGTGTATATACACATGTGTATATGAAAGTTTCAATTGTATCCAAGAGATAATTATACCTGCTATGCGATAACAATCGACTACATTATCGTTTAATACCCATAGAATCCAATTAAAATAATTTTCACGAAACATACCCATCCATTCTTATCGCACACCGGTCTCTCAGTTACTCAAAAATCTCCCGTCTCCGAGAAAGGGTCGAATAACCCTGGGTCAAGGGTTAAACCGGTCGACCGTCGGTGCCATCGACTGCTACGCGGCTTATCGCCTTATCCTCGCTGCGCGGGCGGGATGATAAAGAAGAGACCGCCGTCGCGGCGCGAGAGCGTGCCTCACTCTCTATCTCTCTTCCTCTCACATTTCGTCCCCCCCTCCACCAAGCGGCCCCCCCCACGTGACGAGCGGCGACGCGGCGCGGATTCTCCGTCAACTAATATTGATTATAAAACCGGCGGCGCGGTAGCCGACGGCGGCGGCGGCGGTGGTGGTGGTGGTGGCGGCGGAGGAGGCGGCGGTGGAGGCGGTGGTGGCGGAGGCGCGGCGGCGGTGGTTTCTTCGCTCCCCTTTTTTTCTTTTACCAGCCGGAGCCACGGGCGGTAGTACACGCGCGCGGGACACAATACGCCCGTAGTGTGCGTCGTGGCGGCGGTGGCGGCTCGTGCGGAGGCGGCGGACTACTCTCGCAGAGGGTTGCCGGAGACGACCGGCCGGCCTCGCTCGCGGTGAAGTGA